GGTCACACTGTTGTGGTGTATAAAGTAGGAAGCAGAGACTACATATGTAATGAGCAAATATGGCTGCCCCCATGTGCATATATAACTTCAAGCAATGATGTACTGCACTGTGCCACATTGCAAAGGGGAACATGTCTGACTAATCAGCATTTACATGCCACAGTGTACCTGAGCATAACTGCTGACCATCTGCACCCCTCAGTGGGTACTAGACAGGAGTACTATTAAAGCAGATGTGAACCACAAATAAATGATATTTACTTTGCTAAAGCGCTGTGCAGCATAAACAGTTGCCGTTCTTTCTCTTTTGTATAAAATACTTAAGCTTTTGTCCTCACCCTTTGCTGCAATTCAGTGCTGCTCATCTCTTGCATTCTCTTTGCAGCCATTTCCGGTCTACATGCGCTCTAGCAATGCCTGAATGGCATCTCCCTTGCCAAGTTTCCCAATGGCGGCAACAGTGGGCCATGTCTGTGTAATGTGTCAGGGGACAATGCATGGGCACAAATGAGAGACAGCAACAGAACATTGTCACTAGCAATGAGCTTGGGTTCAGGGTGAAGCTGTCAGTAACGGCCCAAAGGGCGAAGAGCCATATTGGGTCAATGTCACTTACCAAATATGGCCATGTGGGCATATAAGGTTAATGATGTCATCAGCATCCTGCTACTTTGTTCACGTAGAGCTGCGGAGTGGGAAATGCCCCAGCCTCAGTTGATTGGGCTGGCACTAACAGTTTCCTTCTGTGGTTTGATCAAACTCAAGTTTGGACCGACCCCCGAGCTCATCCTTAGTTGTCACTAGGGATGAGCTCGGGTTTGGACCCTATAACAGGAAGTGCCGGAACAAGAACCTTCATAGCAGGATCGCCAGCTATTATTTTCCTGAAAGCTGAAAACGTAAAAAGAATCAAAATGACTTTTGAAATGAAAATCGGCATTGTATAAGAATTTAGTGCTTTGGCTTAAATCTACTTTAAATTGAGTAAAAATGAAAAAGTCAAATAGGATTTTGAAGCAGCTAAATGACAGGTCTGAGCACACCATTTAATGTTTACCGAGTTCCCCCTTAATAACAAAGTGGGAACCTTGGAGCAGATTCAGCAGGAAAGCGGGAGATCAGAGTGATTCATTTCGCACCGACTGCCGGAGAAAAAGGAAAAGCGGAGTAAAATAAACATTATTTCTAAGCCTGGGACTCATTTTTAACAGCGTGTTTGTCATCGGAAAAGTATGCCCTTTAAAGGGAGAAAGCGAGAAAGGCTGCAGGCGGCCCCCGTATGACAAGGCGCTATCAACATTCATCCGCTGACATGCGCGGGGCAGCTTCAAGCTGTGATAACAGTTTATTTACTGCAGTTGCACCGAGTGTTTAAAGACCATTACGGGGATATTTTTACATTGCCGCGGGGAGATTCGTCGCAGTTTCATTTGCTAAAAGTCACGAACTCCAGGCAAATAGCTGAACACACAGATCAAATATGTGTTCCCAGGGGTGTGTGTGAGCTGGTGGTGCACGATGAAGCCCCGGGGGGGGGGGGGGGGGGTGGGTGGGGGGGGGTGGGCACCGAGGCCCCCGGGGGGGGGGGGGGGATTGGTTCGTGGATGAGGGTACTGGCAGTGCACCAGCATCCCCACCCAGCTCACTGACGTCACTGGTTGCTTGCCAGGAGGTGGGCGGGGCGCCAGCCACAGCATCCAGCTCAGCTCCTGGTAACTATTGTTGTCACAGTTTGCCCGGAGCTGAGCGGGACGCCAGCCTGAGCATAACAGGTTGCAAAGAGCAACCTGGGATGATCTGGCAGAAAAGAGGGTGGCAGCCAGCTCACTGACGTCGCTAGTTGCTTGCCAGGAACTGGACGGGATGCCAGCCAAGCCAGAGCGTAACAGGTTATTAAGAGCAACCTGGGACGCTCTGGCAGTAAAAGGGGGCGGCAGGCATCCCCCCCCGCGTGACCCAATGAGATTCTGTGTTAGGGATGACCCTGACACGTATACAAACTATCTTATCTACCGAAGGATTTGTGATTCTGTCCAGCCAGTCTTGCAATTTTTTTTTACACCTCTGCCAGACAGTGCAGCCAAGAGGGTGACATCGCTTTCTCTGCCGTTGCCTCACCATTGAGACAGAAATACTGCCCTCCTTGCATGTGTCTCTACCTCGCCGGCATCAATATCATGCCAGTGACTTACATTCTGTAGTGTTTTCCCCGTTGAGGGACTGATGCTTCACACATCCATCCGGTGAGGAATGACACGTACAAGCAGTTGAGTGCTGACCCTGCACATTTTAGCACTCCTCTTGCCTAGCAAGACACTGGTCTTAAGGGCCAATTTACACCCAAACGTTGTGGGATGTTGAATAGCACCCCAATGCACTTCAGCACATAGTGTAATGTGGCAAAAATGTTCTTGGCACGTCCAATCTTTGGGAAATTTTGGTGCGTCGGAAGCCCATTGATCTCAATGGGCTTCCTTAATGCACTGCATCTGTAAATATGATTTGAAAAAAGGACAATACTTGCCTTATTCATCGCTCCGCTGGTGGCTATCCTCCGCTCCTGGTATGCGGTCAGGCCCTCAGTGTCTTCATGTACAATGCAGACAGCTAGTCCTGCAATGTACATGATGAATTTGGAGAGTCTGTGACCAGTCGAGCGGCAACTTTGGGAATCCATTGGAGGAAGCTTACCAGAGCAAGCAACGGGGCAGTATTTCTTGCCCCTAGACAAAACATGCAATTAACCCTTGCAGCGCTGGGGGTGACCAGCTTTACGAATGAGGAAGGCAGAGGGGTCACCTCCACACTTGCAGCCTGCTGACTGGACAATGACAGAGCAGCAACACACTGATAAGTCATCGCCTCTGCTCATTAAGTGCATGTGATAGACATTGATGGGCCACTTGCTCTGTCTCATTGTGAAACGGCCACAATGAACAGATAGCCAGTGACCATGTGATCTCTGCCTAGACGTTTGGTCACATGAGGCAGCGCCAAAGCAATAAAGAAAGAGGTGGTGCCCCTGTAATTTGGTAATGCCGATGTGTTCCGCATTGATTCCTAACGAAGCGTAAATATTAATTAACATCCACTTTTTACAAGATTTGCGAGCCTGCCCCAGAGACAGAAGACATGTTAAATGTGTCCCTGAAATACAGATTGGATTATCTCCTAAACTGCATAACATGCTTTTAGCGTGACCTTCGAAGTCATTTAGCAAATGTGCAATCCCTGCCACAAGGGACGTAGACATCATAGTCCTTTCCTTGCCTGGGATTAGTGTCAGCAATATTGACAAATCCTCAGAGATTGCGCACATTCCTCCAGAAGACACTAAAACGCCAATAATGACAAAGCATCCCGTAATGTCAGATCTTCACCCGACACCTGTGGTGTCCTTCCTCCCTCCCTCTGACCAGGGGGTCATAAACCGTAAACTCGCTCTAATCCCTATTGATTTTGCCATTGAAGGTCACATCGATGGGGTTGAAAGCCACTTCCCCAGCTTTGTATATTCAGAAAAAAAAAAACAATGGTCACTTTTCTTAAAGCTGAACTCTGGGCAGATACTACAAAACACCAATGAATGTCCTTATGTATTAATAAAAAAAAATAAGGACATTTATTTTTATTGCACCTACTGTCAATACCCGAGTTGCAGGGTGGGGGTGGGGAGGAGACCTAGCTGTGTTGCTTGCAGCAGTGTTTTCCAAAAGTTTTTTAGGTCAGGGCACCCTTTAAAAGTATGCAAAATCTTGAGGTACCCCGGTCTAAAATGCAAAAAAATTAAGTGTGTTCCCTTCTAAATCCATACCAGACCCTTATCTGACATAGAGGTCTGGTATGAATTTTAAAGGGGGGACCACACACAAAAACAGTGGGGTTTCCCCCTTCACATCAAGAGCGCCTTCAAATAGAAGCCCCCTTTTCACATCTGAAACCCCCTTTTACATCAGGAGCCCCCATTCACATCAGGAGTCCCCATTCACATCAGGAGTCCCCATTCACATCAGAGGCATGATGCTGCCAAGGCACCTTGGGGGTGTCTTCTGGCTTCCTCAGAGGAGGAACGGAGCATAAACTCCAAAGTGCCTTGGCACCCTGGTTGAAAAAGGCTGTTTTAAAGGACAGTGAAATGCACTCATCCCCATAGTTAGAGCCGGCGTGCGACACTGCAGCTGTCACACATCGGCTCTATTGAACGAGAGCTGAGTGATCACAAACCGCTGATTGCTCAGCTCCCGATCTTCTCCCTGCAGAGAGCGGTGACCGTCAGTCCCTCCTCCCCTCCAGCGCTTACTGGAGGGACAGACAAGGGAGGGGGCGGGCACAGCTGGCTCTGGCTTTCGAAGGGCCCAGTCACACCATAAAGAGTGTGTTCCAGAGCGTTCAGCCTCTGGAACGCACTGGAACGCCAGCCGGGTCACTTTGTTTTGTGGCACTGCAGCCACACTCCCTGCCTGCAGTTCGATCGCCCGTAACCGAACACGGGGCACGTTAGTGCCTGCATTGCGGTCCAGCATTTTTGCAGATTGCACTGGACCAAAATGCAGGCACTAATGTGCCACGCGTTCGGGTGATGGCGATCACGCTGCGGACGGGGGGTCGTGGCTGCGGTGCCATTGACTTCAATGCACCGCCGTGCCCCCTCCCGCCCCAAAACAAAGTGAGCCGGCCGGTTCCAGAGGCCGAACGCTCTGGAACGCACTTTATGGTGTGACGGGGCCCTTCGAGAGGTAGAGCCAGCTGTCAGGTAGCAGTATTGCCGGGATCTTTACCGGCTGCAGCGCGGCTATGTGCTGTCAGCGTATAGCAGACAGCAGCCTGCTAGATGCTGAATTTGGGTCACGCATGCTCACAGGAGTCCATTCGTTCCAGCACTGAAGTATCTCGTGAGAGCACAAAATGTTCTAAAATGTGATTATTATTATATGACACGGTCATTATCCTGCAGATACAAACAGGGTTTTGATAAGCTTTCCAAGCACGAGGCACGTTACCTCCTTTGGGGATTGATATGCGATGTAGTGCTGGTAGATTTTGCGCGCCCGGCTGTTGAGGATGAAATGGGGGTGCGTATCCCGGTACTCTTCGCAGGCCAACCAGAAATCCAGATTCTCATCGCTGAACTCTGACTGCAGGAATACCCGAAAGAGAGCTCGTCCATCTGGATGCAAACATAGAAAAGAGAGTCACGTTTGTAAAGGATATTACTAGTTTCAAATTACATCGCTTGAAGACAGCGAGAGAGAGACATGAAGGATGCCAATATCATCGTACGGACCCAGGGCTGTAGCTACCATGGGGCGAGTGAGGCAATCGCCTCAGGCGCAGCTGAGAGGGGGCGCAGCCAGGGCCGGACATGGCTGCGTCTCCTTGCCAGTGTTGTCATGGTGAGCATAGGGCGCCATTGGCAACAGGGGCGCCAGACGGCCAACACAGCTACGGCTTGGCAGGGAGAAGAGGGGCGGCACAGGCTCCAGCTTCTCCTCGGATACCTGCTGCTCTCCCCACCTGTATGGGCAGAGGACTTATAAACGGAAACTAAAAATGTTTTCATTCGTTTGGTCAAATAAAACAAATTTTTATGCTATTTTGGATTTGGCCACCAACGCATTCTGCGCATGCACACCATCATCCTGGAGGCGGGGTGCATCATGTCACACTCCGCACACGTCTGTTGGGGGGGGGAGGGGCGGCACAATTTTCTGTTTTTGCCTCAGGCGCAAAAGGAGCTAGATACGGCTCTGTACGGACCTGCGCTTTGCCCTTGCAACAGGTTCACCTCATGAACACCCTTTGTGAAGAATAACAGGATATGCTGGCCACTGGAACCAATCAGATCCTTCCTTTAATTCTCCAATATTGCACTGGAATCATGAAAGGGAGCAGCAGTCCATCAGTGTGTAAAAGTGTGTAAAATATGTCATTATATACTCGCAATGCTATTTGCACAGCGAAGAAGCATCAATACTCTCCTCCTGTCAGCAAGCTCCCAGTGCTAGCCTGAAAACACAGTGAATTGCAGTAGAGTCTGTTGGCCCTACAGTGCTGGCCATCCCTCAGTTCTGCTGTGAATTGGTATTACGGGAAGCCAATACATAACTACCTATACTGTCAGTATACAAAAAAAGCATATAAGGATTCAAAGTGGAACTCCGCTTTAAAAGATTTTGTAAGGGGTCTGCTATATTGTAGTACAGATTATAACCTGCTTCTGTTCTGCAGGTTCTGGAGGGATTCGGGGAGGGGGCTTTATATTAAACACATTACCTGCCCAAGGCGTATAAAAGGAATCAATCGACTGCTTAGGGACATGGCCAGCTCACCTGTTTGCTATTGGCCTGACACGGCCAGGGTTGCTTGTAATTTAGCCTCAAGCTCTGTGCAGACTTTCGGAGAAAAGCAGCCAGCCAGTTATGGGAATGATTCCTGGAATTTCTGTCTACAAAGTGAGTATTGTTGCCATGGTTACTTAAAAAAGAAATATGTGATTCTACTCTTATTTTTTCCCTTTATAAAACCTCAGCCGGCTGCAGACTGAAATGGAAAGATCATTCTTTAATAACAGTAAAATTACAAAATGTCTTGTGTGGCAATTAAGTTTGTATCCGTTGTTATTAAAAAAAGAATACATAAACTCTACCAACATTCTTTTAAGGCAGCGCGACGAATGGTGATGAGGGGCAAAGTGTAGTGGCAAGCAACAACCAATCAGAACTCAATGTATGGTGGGCAGATGAATGAGTGACTTAAAGCGACAGTACACTCCCCTTCCTGGCTGCCTTGCTGGTGCCAACAACTTCGCCTGGTCTTTTTTTCCTGCTTGGGATCACTGACCATCTTGATTGGTGGGGCCGGAATGATGCAACTCTTGTGCGTATGCATAGGACTTCATTAGTTCCGGAACTAAAGTATCCTGTGAATGTACACCAAGTTAAACATATGCATAGGAGTTCATTCATCCCGTCACTAAAGTATCCTGTGAATGTACACTGAGCTACGCATAGGAGTTCATTCATTCTGGCACTAAAGTATTCTGTGAATGTACACTGAGCTATGCATAGGAATGTATTCATCCCGAAACTGAAGTATCCAGTACATGTACACTGAGCTGCGCATGCACATTGGAGTTAATTCATTCCGGCACTGAAGTATCCAGTAAATGCACACTGAGCTGCGCATGCACATGGGAGTTCATTTAAGTCGGCAACAAAAGTAACCTGTGAATGTACCCTGAGCTGCGCATACGCACTGATGATACAGAGCTGCAGTGAGCTCCTCCATCCGGCATATATTATGCATTTCAAGTACCCACTCACGGGTAGTAGGGGGAGTACTCGACTTCCAGTGACGCGGTATAACCGCCTTCTCTGCCATCACGAAAAATCTGAGGAGACCCTTCTTAGCCGAGGATATCGAACCTGGTAGTACGGACAGAAGGGCCACCTTTGGAGACCTGTCCACCTTGCACCTTGGTGTGAAAGATCTGGTCATAGGTATCAAAAATAGCTTCCCAAAACGAGGTCAACAGAGGGCAGGACCACCAGATGTGCAACATCGTCCCTGGATGTGACAGACACCGCCAGCATAGTGCAGAGGCAGATGGGTACATGGCCTGAAGTCTCGTAGGACAGTAGTACCATCTCGACAGGACCTTATAATTTCTCTCTTGATATCTGCTCGCTACGGACATGGTGTGTGTTAAAGCAAAGGATTTAGAAATGTCCTCATCTGTGAGGTCGCATCCTATCTCCCTCTCCCAGTCCCTCACAAAAGAGAGGGTAGGCGAGGCGCGCTCGGACAGCAAAAACCCGTATATAGTAGAAATCATGCGTGCTGGGGGGTCTCTGGAGACACACAATTTCTCAAAGGGAGAAAGCTCTCTCGTTGGGCGACCTCTCGCAGCAAGCCCGGTCAGGAAATCGCACAATTGAAAATACGCCAGCCAGCTACCCGGCATCACAGTGTCCCTCCTTAACAACCCAATAAGGGGCCGCAAAGTGCCCGCCTGCAGTGCCTGACAAATAGGGCTAAAAGATCGAGACTGCCAACCAAGGAACTGGCAGGCATGGTGTGCCGGAGGGAAGTCAGGGTTGTCCATGACTTGGGAAAGAGGGCCATAATATGAGGAAATATGGGAGGAGCTAAGCAATGCATCCCATACTTTGAGCATTGCGGGGAGAAAAAAGGGGAGACTGGTGTGGGCGGGTCTAGAGGGGGGCGGAGACCAGAACAGGGAGAGGGGGGAGAAGGACAGTATTTCCCGGTCTAGTGATATTCCTTATTATTAATAATGGCCATTGTTCAGATTCGGGAGGCCTTGCTTAGGACGTGGTTCACTTTAACAAAGGGCTGTTACATTAACTTAAATTGACACTGCCTGAAAATGAGAGCTGTATACTTTTACATTCACGAGCTGTTATTTGAAGAGGTGTTATTTATGGAACGTCGTGACTATGGAAAGCTTTTAGAATGGCTACAATAAATATTGATACTTTTTTTTTTTTACAAAGAAAAGGAGTGCCGATCGCTTTGGAGTTGTGTTATAGCGGTAGTGCGTGCTGCGTGGAGCACGCACCCGAGCGGCACGATACTGCAGTATCAGGTGAGCTGTTATCCTGTGAAACGGTTAACACGGGAAAAGCGCTGGGCAGATTGCGCGGTTTCCCACTGAGATTCCGCCTGTGCAATTGAACACGATCACGGCTAAAAAAGCAGCGCGTTGTGTCGGGGGGGAAAAAAAATGTACCTTTTTTCAGCGATTGCCGCGCGGATTTAACCCAATTGCAATCAATGGGGCCGCGTGGCAACCACGATTGCGCGGCCCGGAGATGGGATCACTCAGATCTGAACCTAACCTAGTACTATAAACACAA